GCAGCCTTTGGGGATTGATTGGGGAAGGGGGGGGGCTGCTTCTCCGGCAAGGGGGCTTGGCCCTAGCTGGGCTTTTAATTCCCAAGCGACCTTTTCAAAAGGCAGTTTTTCAGGACCAGACGCTTGTTGACTCTGGCAATCGATGAGGTGAAACGGTTTAGAGAATCGATGTGGAAAGCTGTGGAGCTGTTCTCAGGTGGGTGCTAGGAACCCACGAAGCACGGAGCCCCCACCGGTCGCTGCGTCCCCCGCCGCCCTTGCACTTACTCACTCTGAAGCAGCTTTGGGGGGGGGGATACAGGGAGTTTGGGCGGCAGGCAGCTGCACAGGATGCTGACAGTTTCTCCAGCACCCTGCCTCCCTACTGCTGTGGGGAGAACTGTCTCCAGGCCTGCATCACGCCGCAGCCTCTCTGCCGAGGGTGCCAGGAACACGGGGGCTGGTGAATGGCGTCCCCAATGTTACACATTGGCCACTCACCAGGGCTATGTCTACACGCGCGTCTTCTTGCGCGAGTAATATGCAAATGAGGCCAAGCGTTGAATATCAGCGAGCCTCATTTGCATAACTAATGAGCTGCCATTTTTTTCAGAAGAGGCTCTTGCGCAAGACAGAGCATCTACTCTGCCCCTTCTTGCGCAAGAAAAACCCCTCTTGCCGGCTGATCGCTAGCTCCCGGCATGGCCACATCCACCATGGTGCAGACCTTGGGGCCACCCTGGCATGACACGCTCGCTGATTTCCTGGGCCAGGCCCAGTTAAAGATTCTCTCCATCAGCTGGTCCTGCTGCTCCTTTGGAGTGGGCACGGTGGGTGGCATGAGACATGGAGCCCGCCAAGGTAGAGCAGCGACGGGGAGGCCACGGCTGGAGATGCCTCTGAAGCTGGTGCGGGAGGGAGTGGCAGGGTTTTCACTAGGGATGTTGGCGACTCAGGGGCGGCCCGTCTGTCTCGGCGAACTAGGCGGTCGCCTAGAGCGCCAAGTTAAATGGGGAACCAAATGGTGGCACAATATCATTGAGGGGTTTGGAGGTGGGTTGCATGGTTCGCCTAGGGCACTAGTTGCTGGCAGCTAGTCTAGGGCCGCCCTGGCTTGGCGTACAGTCATGTAAACAATTAACGGCTAAGCCCGGGTTTATCGGTTAATCCAAAAGGCTACACACACTTCCTACCTTGCTGTACAGAGGCAGCAAGCGGGTGGGGAGGCAGGAGCCAGCGCCTGTGAAGAACCAGCTATTAAGCAGGCTCCCCACAAGCACCCGATCCTGCGGAGTCGCCTGCCCCCTTCCACTTCTGCGCTGCTATGATGGTGCTTGGGGGAACTGGCTTTTAAGCTGGCTCCCCCCACTAACTCCTCCTCCCCCTTGCTGCCTCTGATACAGCAAGGTGGAGAGTGCGTGGAGCCTTTTGAGGGGCAGGAGGGAGCAGGTGCTTGGGGGGAGGAGCCGGCTTAAAAGAGGCAGCAGCACAGGATGGCAGGGGGCTCCCTGGGAGTGGGGCTGGAGTGCACTGCCTGCCGGCCCTGCCCCTGGGGACCAGCGAATAATCGTGTAACCGCTACGATTTGGTGCGGTTACACACTTATTAAATGAAACGCTAGCTCGCATCCCCTGAACCCTTTTCAGCCGTCCTTTGGAACTCATTTAAACTAAAGCCTAGAGACAGATCTGGCTGCTGGGTTGGAAACAGAGCTGGGTCCAGCCAAAGCCAGGTGCTGCGGAAAGCGGCCAGGCTAAGCTACAGGGGCGATGAGCGAAGTCTGGGCTTTAAGACACGAGCTGATCCAGAGCTCGGGTCCTCCGATGTGCTAAGCTAACTCGGGGGTCACTGGTAATGGACAAGGCTACCGCTTAGCTGCATGCTGGGCTCTGAACAGCTCATTCTTTACACAAAACTCCTTCCAGCTTGGCCACCAAGACAAACAGGCTCTCAAATGCTACCGCTCCCCCTCCGATCGATGGCTTCCTCGCAGGAGCACTCCCTACAGGCAACACAAACAAATTGTTCTGCAATTACAGGCCCCTAATGCCACCAGTCGGGGCTAAACAAGCCTTTCTGGTGATCCGTGTCAAATGCTGCTGTCACCCACTTTGTCAATTGTCGCTGGAAAGTCCATGGGGAACTGGATACATCCGTGGCTCGTCTGCCGCGTATTTCCCCTTGGTTCGTCAGGAGGTAAGTAAATATTTGCTATCTACGCTAATCCCATTTGGTGAGTACCCGGAGCCTCTGGGTGTCAGAAGCAGCCAGCTGGGTCCCCCAGACTGGTTGCTAGAGCACAGGCTGAGGTTGGGGTCAGAATGGACATGAAAATCAAGTCCCACAGTTAATCTTCTCTCATGCAAGTGGCTCACTCTTGTGTTCAAACTGTGGTACTGCAGCCCGGAAAACAGGATCTGCCTGGCCAGGAAGGCCTTGAGAATGTTAATCTCACTTGGGCAGGGATTCAAACTCACCCCCCTTAAAAAAAAAGCTCCTCTTATTGTCTACACTGGCAGGTTTTGTCGCCAAAAACTGCCTTTTGGTGACAAAACAGTGAGAGTGGTTGCACTGCATTGCGACTTCTGTCGGGAAAAACACCCAGTTTTGGTGACCAAAAAAACCCCAACCCCTGCAAGAGACTTTTGTCTTTTCCCCTCCCTTGTTTGTCACAAGGAGCCAGTATGGACTCTGCTGTTTGTTTTGTGAGAGAATTGACTTCTGCCAGTTTCCCACCATGCCTGCCCTGATGGCTGGGCTCAGTGTTTTGTGATCTCTGCTGCCCTGCAGGCATGCGCCCCCTCCCCTTTCAAAGTTCTCGGAAGTATCTGTCAGGTGAGTGAGCTGCTTTGATTGGAGAACAAAGAACAAATCATTGGAATGCTCCTGTTCTGCCCTGCTAGGAACACAGGGGCAGGCCAACTGCTGCTGCAGGGGGAGGGTTAGAGAGACGGCTGGGTGGCTTTGACATTCCTCACCATGGAGAGTTCACAGAGCTACGAGATAATCCCAAAAAGCGCAGGGATCAGCTCTGCCTTCTCACAACACTGCCCTGTCAGATGCTTCCCCACAATGCTTTGCTCTGGTGACAGGATGCTACCATAAGAACATAAAAACGTCCATACTGGGTCAGACCAAAGGTCCATCTAGCCCTGTAGCCCGTCTGCCAGAGAAGCTAGATAATTTCATGGAGGTTTCATGGAGGTTAGGTCCATAAAAGGCTATTAGCCAGGGGATAGAAATGGTGTCCCTGGCCTCTGTTTGTCAGAGGCTGGAGAGGGATGGCAGGAGACAAATTGCTTGAGCATTATCTTCGGTCCACCCTCTCTGGGGCACCTGGTGCTGGCCACTGTCGGCAGATGCAAACTCAGGTAGCAGGTTCCACCAACATTGCCAGAATGTATCCGGGCTGGGGCAGCACAGCTACATCTAGGAACACTGAGAGACTTCTGGAGAAAAAAGTCAGTTTTGGCCAGCACAGCCAGTGCTGCAGAGGTGTTTGTTTTTAAATAATTAAGATTGAGCCAATGCCCATTTGGTATATTTATGACCCACAGAAGGCCTGGAAGAGCTCTCG